CTCTCTCTCTCTCTCTCTCTCTCTCTCTCGCCCTTGTTTGTGTCCCATTTCTCTGAATCTTCTGATGGTACCCTTTCTTTGGTGACCTTTGAATGAAAAGCGAGCCTTTCTTGGTGAAGTGCTGTAACCTTTGATTAGGAGACTCGCCTAAAGAAAAGCTGTAAACATAACTGTAACACTCGTGAAATGATTCATTATGCTGTGTGCCTGCAGTTATACGGGATAATTAAGCCCCAGCCCGGTTTATAGATTGACAGTACTTGATCGATTCCAAACTGTAACAGACTTTAACTGTTTGTCTGTCTGTCTGTCTTTCTGTCTGTCTGTCTCGTTGTCTGACTGTATGACTGGCTGTCTACGCCTTTATTCAGTTCCTAAGAGACACACCAGGACCTGTTGCCCGTTAAGCAGAATATTAAAGCAAAGATGCTTCTGCGCTGCGCAGTATTGTTTGGTGAAATCCATCAAACACTCCCCTGTTGGTATTGCTTACAGGGAAATAATCCTAATTAACAAACTAGCTTCGCGGCACAGGGTCAGTTTTGGATCCCCAAGAACAAAGAATAGCTATCGCTTTAGTTATTGATTGCCTATAATAATTAGATCTAGTTTATAAATATAGGATGTCTTTTTTTTTTAAAGGACCCACTTACAGGGCAATAACTCGGTCGTTAATGCACACAAAGAGGTTATATATAATATTAGAGCTCGCAGCAGTGACGTCATACGTGTCAGACAAAAGGGTCTTCTTACCCTCATTGGTATGGCCGGCGTGCTCCCATTTACATGAACAATCTGAACCCTCACCCCGCTCCCCACGAGCTCTAGTATATTAAACATCACCCTGCCCCCATATTTCAGCGCAAGCTGGTAGATTTCTTCCTGAGACCGCCGAGACGCCTCCACATGAGTCTCAAAAAGTACTCATCCGTCTGTTGAACTCACTGCCTCGAACTCTTTTACTATTGGAAACGATAACAACACAAACGATAAATATATTGTGAAAATGGTTTTAATACTTGTAACTGATGAGTTTTAAGTAAGTAACATCGCATGAATGATATTTTTAAAACAATGAAATAGAATAGAATTTTGAAAAACAAACACACGGTGGGATGGGCAGACAAAAAAAACGATGGACTAAGTCGCCTTCGTGTGTCAGGACTTTGCACTTGAGGGTGCTGAGGTGACTGAGGCTAGGAGATGCTCCACCATGGCCTCGTGCGGGGTGTGTCTGAGGACGCGGGAGGCTCTCTCTAGCTCCTCTAGGGCTCGAGGGCTCACCTGTCGGTTGTTACTGGACGACCTCTTTCCCGGGGGACTCGACCCCTGCTTGTGGTTTGTTACCTGGACGAGACGAAATGGAAAGAGGTTGTGTTTTGGGGGGGGTTTTTGGTGTTGTTGTTGATTTTATTTTGGTTGGTTTTTATTTTGTTTGTTGCTGTTTGTTGTTGTTGTTGTTGTTTTTTGGGGGAGTTGTTGTTGTTGTTGTTTTTTGGGGGAGTTGTTGTTGTTGTTGTTTTTTGGGGGAGTTGTTGTTGTTGTTGTTT